AATCTCTCAAAGACAGAATATTTCTGTAAATTAAAATGTTACTTAAAATTTATCATTTTCTTCATTCACAAAATGAAGGTAAGATTTCCTGTTTTAAGAAGAATAGCTGGAACCCCCACACCCTCACTCTGTAAAGTAGTAGTCATAGTCATAAGTGAGATGGATATACATATTTGATTTCTATTTTTAAATTAATTTATTTTTGCTTAATTTTATTATCTTTTGCTTTTGGTGAAGGATGAAAAGTGACTGAACACATTAGGCCCCACAGACAGCATTAAGGTTAGAAACTACCCAAGGTTAGAAATTGACTGCTGTAAGATCACAGAAAGCCAAGCTCCCAAGTGTTCTAACAGCATCAAGCATAAGGAAACAGGCTGCAAGACTGAATTTTAAATTGCCACATGCTAACAGTGCTTTCTAAATGATAGCTGCCTCCTTCTGCTATATTAAATATTGCCCCCTTCCTGCATGTGACAGTAATGACCAAAGGCTGAAACTTTGACACCTGAAATGGAAACTGAGCTGCTTCTGTAAATCTGTTCCACAAAACCTGAATTGGCAAGGTACCGATCATCCAGAGCTCTAGATTAAATTCCTGGAGTACTCAGCATTCAAGGGAACAGGACTCCCCCATAGAATCAGGAGGGCAAATTACACACCTTAGACATAGAGACTGTGAATTAATTGAGAAATACATAGGTTGGCCTTTTACTCACAGTGGCCTTTATTTTTAAACACAGAGGCATTACGTTTGCTTTAGACAGCAAGCAGGTTATGTGCTGGGTTTCAAAAGTAGTATTACGTGCAATCACACTTTCTTGGTACTGCAAATCAAAATGTGGGGGCAAGGGTAAAGATAAAACCAACAGATTTACTAACCAAGGGTAAGACTTACCTGTTGCCTACAGAACTAAAGGCATTGAAATGGTACAAAACCTACAATAAATTAATAACCAGACTCAAAAGATCTTGATAGGGGGACAGAATTTTTGATTAGCCAGCCCTGATTTTTTTTTTTTTTTTTTTTTTTTTTTTTTTAACTGATTAGGTTATTTGGAGCAGAAGTACTAACAGTAATTAACAGAATGTTTCACTGGGAAAAGAAAACTTCTCTCCGAGCGATACCATAATGTAATAAAAATAAATCCTTTTCAAAAGCTACATAATTAAAAAAAATGCGAGTTAATTACATATTCGATGTTTGAAATAATAAGCATGGTAAAATACAACATAACAGTCTTACATATCCCATCCATTCTGAAATCTAGCAGTTCCAGTCATTCCTAATGCTCAAATAGTTACAGCCAGCACCTTAGTTGAGACAATTTCAGTGAAGCTGAAGCCAAGGTAGTTCAAGTTAGGATTTTACAGGATTAGTTTTACTAGCCTTGAGCAGAATTTTCAAAATCTGGTGCCTCAAATTAAGCCTAGATTTAATTAAAACACATCACCTACATATATGCTCTGGTTTTCAAAAGTGAATTCCCTTTCAACTCTAGTGGGTACTGATGGCTTCTCAGGACTCTACAGGATCTGGCTACTTAAGCAAGTGCTTAAACACAGACTCAGGAACATAACCCTATATATCCATTCAACAATCTTGGCCATTTCTCTTTATTCTAATATACTGGACTCACAAAAGACCAAATTTCTAGAACCACACCAATTCCCCAGATCACCCCAAGATGAACAGGGTCAAGTAGGCCATATTATTCATAAAGGGACTATACATTAAGGGATTCATGACAAACCTAACTAGGAAGCAGAATTATTCTTTGCTACTTAATATATTTAACACATTAGGAAATGGCCTACTTATAGCAGGAGCAAGAACCGGGGGAAAATATGAGATAACATTTCTTGAGCCTCGATTCTTCAGTTAGATGAATGTAGGCACCTGCATACAAGCTTAGAGCCCTACTGATACCAGTGGACCTTTATACCCAAGCACGGCACCCTCTGCATAAATTTCGTGGAAAGATGGGAGCTTTGATATATGCCAAAAAAATAATATTTTTGAGAAGAACAAATTACAACTCACATTTTGGAAACTGGGAAATACTGGATAACAAAAAGCAGATATTTACATTTAACTGTAGGCCTTAGTCTATATTGGAAGACTGGATGTCAACATTTGGTCCAGCCAAAGGTTGGCTTAGACAACTTTTAACATTGCAACTATAGTTGTGTATCCTCTCTCTTTCAATGAAATACTATAGAAATAATTCTATTTTGTAGAATCAGTGCAAATTAAAAAAATAAAGTAAAATCTGCAAATTTGCCATGTATATCTCCATATCCTCACATATCTTAAACTGAAAGCTTGGAAAAAATATTATTACAAGGAAACAAAAGATAACATTAAAGGTAAGCATAGTACCCATCACAAAATAGGTTTATTTCCATTAGCCATTTCTAATTTAGTCTAGCCAAATAAAACTAGTTGCATTTTACCACAGTAAATTTGGGGTGTATTTGGTCCCTTGTAAGTGCATTGCTTTGAACTCCCTGAGTACTGTACATTCCTTTTCTACAGTGACTTCTGGTTGGGAGATGCTAAAATAAAAATTAATTCTCAACCATTATACTCACTATCTTGTAAAATCTACTGCTTACATGAAGCGCACAAACATAATACTTCACAAGTTACGTAGGTGTTTATCTCAGCAGTTTGCATCTGTATATCTGAGGTTGATGTTAGCCTTGAACTTCTCAGGGCCAATATTTTTCCTCTTGATTCTAGGAGATGCTTATTTCACACCAGCGCAGATGATTTAGGATTTGAACTTTTTAACCATGTTTATACTTGTGGATATTCTCACCCATCTGTCAGCAAAAATCAAACAAGTTAAAAAAGTGCTGCAACGTGCTACAGTTACTTAAGCTCCTCTGAATCACGAATCTCAATTCAGGGGAGATAAAGTCAGCATCTACAGTTTTGTAGATTGGCTTGTAAAAAGGATCAGAAAGGGTAGATGGTGTCCAATTACCAAACTCTATGTTTTAAAAACAAGATAGCTCATGTAGGTGGACAACTGGGGCCAAAAAGAAAAAAAGATTTTGTTGCTTCAATACCATTACAAGCAATGCCATTGTTAAGAACAAATTATACTATATTCAGTTTTGAAAATAACTGGACATTAACGAAGGATTGTTCATGCTTACTAATACATCTCTGATTTCTATTAAAAATGGGCAATGTTCAAAATCGAAGGACTGAAACTTGAGTAAGACATTTATTTTTTAAAAATAACCTATAAAATGTCAAATTGTTAACAGCTCATTATGCATCATTATTATAAAGATTTTATGTGTGACTGAATCACTTAGTATATACTAAAGATAAGCTACTTTGATACCAAACGAGGCCTCCAGTAATTTAAGAATTTTGTCAATATTTAATTCATTAAAGGATACTACTATATCTAAAATTCACCAGATATGGCTGAATCTGTGCACTAGTTAAAATATAATATCCTACCTGCACATAAAAAGATGCATTATATATAGATCTTAAAAGTGTATGCGTGTGTGTATATATTTTACGCACCAACAAACACAATGCAGACGATAGAAGGCAGCATAGAAAGAGTGTTTTAAGTATAAAAAGAAGTGTTTCATTTTCAATTTAGTAGAAAAGTGTATCATTTGCATTTTGACAGACTTACTGGTACTGCTACACAAAACCAGAAAAAGCCATGCAAAAAGGTTAAGACCATTTTTAAATGTATTTATGGAGGAAAAAATGATAGTCTAACTGGGCTGCAAATAGTCAAATGGCAGGAAAATGGTTAAAGACAGCTTACATGAACAAAATGAGAGTATTTTCACTCCTTTTTAAGTTAAGTCTTTCCTTTGTAAGGCTGCTGAATCCTATTTTGACACTTAATAAAATAAGAAAATAAAAACACACAATATCTATCCTCTCCCTGTCCCCCTTCCCATAAATGGCTCACTATAGTCAATTGGTTCCAGAAGCATGATTCTGTGATGGCCATCAAACAGAACGAACTTATTGCATGGGCATAAAAGGCCACAAAGAAAGAGGAAGAAAAAGTAAGCACATTGAAAAATACATTTTTCTCCTTTCCCCCTACATAAACTAATGATGTAGGTTTAAAAAACAAACCTTTCACAATACCAGACCAGTTATTAGCATTTCTAATCCATGTGGTAGATGCTTTCCCTGTATATCCCATTTCTCTACGCACTTAATAGATGTTTACAAACGAATGTCTTCAAAAGATATAAATCTGCTTCAATTCCCTGTCAAATAAAGAATAATTTTTGTATTGGGCTTTTTTGCTTTGTTTTAGCTGCAACGTCTAACATGCTCCAGTACATATTCAGGAAAGTGCAAGCTGCACACTTGTAAGCCATCCAGCTTGCAGGGCATCCGGGGGTATTCATCTTCTTTCCATTTATTTTCCTCTGGATCAAAGGTGAGAATTGAATCACTGTAATGACCATTGTAACAGAGGCCTCCAAGAACCATTATCTGTTTGTCCAAAACAGCTACACCATGACCACTCCGACCAATTGGCATAGAAGCCAAAATAGTCCACTGATCAGTGTCTGGGTCATAAACCTCTGTAGAGGGACACCCCTGAGACTCAAAGGAGGCCCTCAGGATCACACAGACACCACCAAAGACATAGAGCTTACCATTATAGGAAATCATTTTGTGAAAGCACCTTGCATAATTCATTTTGCATTTGTTCTCCCAACAGTTAGTGACTACTTGAGTTCTCCTTGTTCGCTGTTCCACCGTCCCTTCCTTACTTGGGTCAAACACACACACTTGTTTAGAAGTTGAAGATGATGTAATTCCACCGGTGATGTACAATTTGTTAGTCAGCACAGTTCCTTCATGTCCGTATTTATTGACTGGATAGGGATCCACAAATTCCCACTTGTCTTCAGTGATATCATACCGCTCAGTCGAATAAAATGTTTCATCCCTAGTTCGCCCAGCCACTGCATAAATGTATCTCCCAATAACGCCAACAGCAAACTCTGAACGTGGAACAGACATGTCTGCCATTCGCAACCAAGCATTTTGTCTTGGGTCATATCTAAATACTTTGGATGAAGCATGAAACTCACCATCGGGCCCCAGTTCTTCCCCGCCTAACAAGAACACAAAGTTATTGACAATAGCAAGACAGTCTGGTCGCAAAGGTACTTGAGGACCTTCTAGCTCCCACCAGACCCTTGGTTTGTGCAAGAGAAGAATTTTGCTATTTACCATACTGTGTCCTATCATTCCTCTAAATACTGCAGTCTGCGGTTTGGCAGAACGAATTCTGTTGGATTTCATTTCCATCAAAGGCTGTTGGTGAGCATTATGAAAGTAATTCATGGCTTGGTCAACCTCGTGTCGCAGCTGCCGGGAGTATCGATAAAATTCTGATGTTTTTACCTAAGGATACATTTAAAAAATATTAAAATGTTGACCACAAATATACAACAGGTAGAGCAATCTAATGACTAAATGAAAAACACATTATAATGCATAATTTTATTCAGGTAAACCTTGAGAACAATTGCATTCAAGTACTAGAACACTTTATAAAGTTTAACCACATACATAAAATGTTTGCAGAGGCAACATCTTTTTTCCTGCT